TGCGCTACTTTTCCTCTCATGATCTCCGCAATCCTTCCTTTTTAGAATGGCAATGATATTAGTAGACATTTTTTTTGTTCGCCGCCCCTCTTACTCCGCCCTTCCTCTTCGCCTTTATTCGCCTTGTCTTCTCTTCAAAACCCCTTTTTATGTACTTACATCTCACTTTTCCCCCCCCCCCCGGAAGTTCCACGTTCGAGTCTGTTCTTTTTTCCCCCCCTTGCTCGAAAGCCCAACTGTCTACGGGGGCTTCCGCCTCTTTTTCTTTCCACTTTTTACTCTCTTCTCAGCCATTTCTGTGTACCAGATGGCTCTAAGCTTTGACGGGGTAGGATTGAGCAGGTTTCCGGACGCCGTACAAGGGGATTTACTATCTTAGTAGTATTTTACTGTGAATTTTTTCCATCCTTACAGCACTTTATCCGTATTGCATCTATGCCTGTGTATATTTGTGGTTGTCCAGACCCCCTTTTCTTTACACAGGCTATCAAAAAATTTTATCACCTCACCCCTTTGTCCCCCGATCCACTTTGGGTACGCGCACTTTACTAAAACATAAAGATATTGTTTTTTTTTTGGTCCCCCGGTCATTTTGACGACAGGCAATGAACAGGCAACACTGCTGCCGGGCACGTACATGACCTACCATTTCTTATAAGGTATTCCTGAGGAAATTTTGCTGTAAAATCTTCCCCCCCTTAACCCGTTGGCAAAACTTGGTCTACCATGCCGGGAACAAATTCAGTCTATTAAACCGAAGTTAGGTTATGGCCGTTTCTTATCACCATGTCGAGGGTTTGGGGGACTACTCCTCCCTCTTTGCATTTGGCCCCTACTCGTCACTCATGGGGGTACTCAGAGAGGGGGTCTTGCTCCCCTCTTGAGAAATTTCCAAGCTCCATTATCAGTCAGCCCCATTCTGTTTGGCTGCCCCCTTTACAACGAGCACGCAGAATTACCTCTGTCGGTCTTCGCCCCCCTGCTCTCTCTTTACCCTTCCCTTTTCGCTAGGGCCCACCTTTTTATCCGGGCTTCTCATTGACTTTTTTTCAAAGACTGACTTCTTTTAAAAAAAAATTTTGATACTTTCGCCCTTTCTCTTGTATTCCCTTTCTACCCTCAAACCCCCCTACTATACCCTGCCCCCGTTTTTGTAACCGCTGATCACCCCCCCCCCTTTGCCACCAAATTCCCCCTTTTTCCTTCCCCACCCTGCAGCGCTGTATAGCCTTGTGGCTTACGCTTTTTTTGATATAATAATAATAATAATAGAAACTGAAGGACTGGAACCCAACAAATTTTTTAATTGTGTGAAACAGGCCTGTTCTGGAAGAAAATCCAAGCAGGGGCCTACATTTTTCAGGGGGAAAAGGGGATTCCCCGGGCATAAACCCATGAAAGACAGGCTTACTTTTTTGATGGTGCCCAAATTAGTGGTGATTGCAAAGTTAAGCCTTTATTTGGTATCACTCGAAACCCCAGAGCGTTTCAGGGGAAAAAAATGTCTCAAGGTTTTTGTGTGGCTGTGGAGGGCAAACAGTAAGGGAGGGCAAGGGGAAATTTTTCTATAACTGGTTACACCATGCATTTTCCCCCCCAAAGTAAAGATTACCCAACTGAAAAGAAATTAACCCCTTTAAATGCCTCCCGGTGTTTGACAATGCCCCCGGTCAACCCACAGACGTGCAGAGCGACTTTATGGGGACATGAGCTTCATTAGGTGAAGTTTTTGCCTCCAAATACCACTCCTCCCTGCAGCCCATGGACCAGCAGGTCATTTCCAACTTCAAGAAACTGTACACAAAAGCTCTTGTTTCAAAAGTGCTTTGAAGTGACCACAGACACTCGATTGACTCTAAAAGAGTTTTGGAAGGATCACTTTAATATCCTCAATTGTGTAAACCTTATAGGTAAGGCTTGGGAGGGAGTGACAAAAGAGAACCTTGAACTCTGCTTGGAAGAAACTGTGGCCAGAATGTGTAGACAAAAGGGATTTTGAAGGTTTGAGGCTAACCCTGAGAGGAGTAGTATACCAGTTGAGGAATCAATTGTGGAATTGGGGAAGTCCTTGGGGTTGGAGGTTAGTGGGGAGGTTTGTGGAAGAGTTGGGGGAGGAGGACAATGAAGAACTAACCACTGATGAGCTGATAGATCAACTTAAAAGAGCAAGAGGCCCAGACCTGGGGAAACTGGTTCAAGGAGGGGAGGAGAGAAATTGAAGGAATTGCCTTTCTTCAAAGATTAAGGAAATGTGTGCAAAATGGCTTGAAGTGAAAACCCTTTTTTTTGATGAAAATCACCCTCACACAGCTATTGCAAAGCCGTGCTGGTGACTGTTACAATGACACTGTTGTGAACCACTTTAGACAAATCATAAAGGAACGAGAGGTACAGGCCACTATGGACAGATATGTTGTGCGAAAGAAGTCCAGTGACTCTGAAGCTGGTCCTAGTGGCATTAAAAGAAGAAGGGAAGTAACCCCAGAAAAGGACTTGCTACCTTCAAGTCCTAATGGAAGGGGATTCCCCTTCTAAACACTAACACCTCTCTCCCCTCCTCCCATCCCATCAATCATCACCAGATCTTCAATAAAAGTAAGTGTCATGTAATTGTGCATGCCTTTTTCAGTTTGTGTGTACTAAAATTAACATTTTTTTGTGGTAAAAAAAAATTTTTTTCATACTTTTGGGTGTCTTGCACGGATTAATTTTATTTCCATTATTTCTTATGGGGAAAATTAATTCGCATAGCGAACATTTCGCATAACGGCCAGCCCTTTGCACGGATTAAGTTCGCTATGCGGGGGTCCACTGTATATATATATATATATATATATATATATATATATATATATATATATGTATATATATATATATGTATATATATATATATATATATATATATATATTATATATATATATATATATATATATATATATATATATATTTATTTATTATTTATTTATTTATTTATTTATTTTAACACATATATATATATACACATATATATATATACACATATATATATATATATACACATATATATATATATACATATATATATATATACATAATATATATATACAGTGGACCCCCGCATAACGATTACCTCCGAATGCGACCAATTATGTAAGTGTAATTATGTAAGTGCGTTTGTACGTGTATGTTTGGGGGTCTGAAATGGACTAATCTACTTCACAATATTCCTTATGGGAACAAATTCGGTCAGTACTGGAACCTGAACATACTTCTGGAGTGAAAAAATATCGTTAACCGGGGGTCCACTGTATATATATGTATATATATATATATATATATATATATTATATATATAATATATATATATATTTTTTTTTAACAAGTCGGCCGTTTGCCTTATACTGTATTTCTTCCCGGACCTGGCTAGCCTGGGCCAGCTGGTCCTCTTTTTCCGATGCACATACATCTCATCATGAGTACAGGTGGTATAAAATACTGATACAGTGTAAGTTAGAGATACACAAGCAATAAGGAAACTCATCACAGAGACAAGTACCTCATTTCTTGACCATATCTGGACCAATACTGTATCCCCAATAATTGCAGGGAAAATCACAGACAACACTACGGACCACTAACCAACTTAGGTAGACTGCCTCAGGACAGGACTAAGATCTCCTCCACTACACAAGTCATAAGTAAATAATTTTATTTCTGCCTTACAAAACACTGACTGGCTGGGTGAACTAGTGGACAGCCATGATATTGATGAATGTGTCAAAATATTTCTACATAAAAACCAAAACCTCTATAATAGACATTGTCCAATGAAAGCGAAGCAGATCTCAGCAGAGACTAAATAAATAGTATCCATAAATCCATTGACATAAAACATCTATATAAAAAACAGTTCAGACGGCCTAATACCAAAAGAACTGACAAAATGATACACATCAATATTTAGTAATCTAATATGGAAGTCCAAACAAATGTATTATGTAAACAGATTTGGTGAAATAAAAGGGGATTTGAAAATGTCCTGGAAAACCCTCTCTGAACTTCTGTTCTGTCTAGAAACAGAGAGATTATATTTCAGACCCCCATCCAGCGTATAACTAAGAAAGTTTCCGAAAACAGTAGATATCCTTTCCAAGATACGATACTATGTACCCCAAAGGGCGCTCCTTTCCTCACCTATTGTATTTGTGATAGAGGATCTACCGTGGCCAATCACCTTAAACCTTTAATAACCCAGTAAAAAACCGTTGTGCGGATGATCACAAACTTCTGCACCAAACAACACACCCCACCACTTCAAAAACTTGAACTTGCTTGATATACAAAATATACACACTTATTATTGTGCCTACTATATATACAGAACATTAAACTCCAATATAAACCCTCTGCTCAAACTTCTCCTAGACAGCTTCAACAGAACACACAGGCATAACACGAGGCACAAAATACTTTTTGACATCCCTCATGCCCGTCACACTATACAAAAATGCAATGCTATGTACATAAAGGGCCCGAAGAACTGGAACACTGCCCGAAAAGCCGGAGGTCCCCTGCCCACAAATCAGTTTAGGACTATACTTAAAAATCATCTCATCTCTCAATAATAACCATACCCACACTATGCTAATCTCTAGCCACATTTGAAGCAACTCTCCCAAATATTTTATTACTCCTTATCTATTAAATCATTATTACAAACCTAAAAATGTATGTTTGTATCATAAATTGTACTACCTCGTATTAATAATAGAGTAAAATATTGAATATTTGAAATTTACCACTCTTTACCTGTCTAAACTTAGTAGTCATTAAATAATAGGTTAGTGGCTTTTTTTTGTACCAGTCAAATTATGGAATGTAAACACACATTGTAACCTTTGCAAAGAAACAAACTTTTGTTGTTGTTTATTAAGTTTGTTTACATACGGGTACACTACAGTTATCATACCAAGTGACGTGTGTAAATTTCCTAGGATAACCCCCCCCCCCCCAAAAAAAAAAAAAAAAAAAAATAATCAGTGACATTTCTTTTAAAAACCAAGTTTTATCTCGTAAGTGCTTGAAAAGATATGAGATATACAAGGCAGCAGTGATGGGTGAATGGAGGGACCAAGATGACCCCTCTACATCAGGTCACGCATTTGGCCAAGCAGGTGAGCAAGAGATTTAACGAGTTGATTGCTGCTTGTATTCTGCTTGATGTTTGCAGTGAGAATTAGGGCTGACTTTAAGTGTTACCGTTTGTCTTGGTTTTCTTATGAAATTACTAGTTTAACCTCGGCCCATTCAGTGTTGTTAGTCACAGGCATATTTATGCGCTGCATTGTGTGTATCCAAGTTCTTTGGCATCTCGAGTCACTACAGGGAAAATAAGATTCTCCGTTAAAAGGCTAATATAGTTAGAGGGTTTCGCTTTATAAGAATATTCACGTGTAATTACCTCTCACATAGGTTATTGCCATTAGTTTTTCGTGATCTAATATTCATATAAGATAAAAAGAAAAAAAAATTAAGGGAGGTTCCTTGATGCTGGTGAGTTTTTTTTCCACCTTTCTTAAAGGAGAGAATACGACCGTGACTTCTTTCAGAAAAAGAGTAAAACTGGAGTTTGCCCTTCCCTGTGGCGGTTGTGACAGGTTTACGATGGTGACACAAGCAAGAACTTGGACAGCCTAATTAAAGAACATTAAATGCGCCAGTGACTAAAACTTTTGAATGTATGAGTGGATCATTATAACATACACTTCCTTTACATCGTGAAATGGATTGAGTTATAATTATTGTAATCAAGGGGGAAGCGCTAAACCCGTAGGATTATACAGCACCTATAAGGGGGATGTGGAAGGTATTCAGGTTTAATTCAGGGAACTGGAGTACAGATCCAGTTCCCTAGATCAAGAGCCCCTCACCAGCATCAAGGAACCTTCCTTGAGGGGGCTTTTTTCGTGGGGGTGGGGTGGGGGTGCCGGCCGGCTATCCGGGGATCGATCCGCAAACCCCAGCAGTGAGAGTCGCCCCTCTCACCACTGGGCTAAACTAGTTAGTTCAGAAGAAAAAGCACAAATGACGGTACTTAGAAACAGTCCCATGCACTACAAACACCATCGCACAGAATATGAATATCTTTAAACTAGCTGGAACTTTCGCCAACTTTTGCACCACCAACAGTGTGACCTAACCTATGGGGCCACATCACCCTTTAACTTTACCTACACTGATGCCCTCAGTATTGAATGTATTGTCTGTAAGATTTAATAACGCTTGGTGTTCAGCCAAAACGTCTGTGACACCTCTGATTCTTATTATTTGTATCGCACAGGCCTATGCTGCTGACCCTGCGAGTAAACGGCGACTTGCCTCCTGGTGAACCGGAGGTCCCGATGACCCTGGACAAGCACAGAGCTGTAGACGCCCTGTCATTTGTCAAGTGTCAGTTCTCATGCAGATGGTCTTTTTTATGCATCCAGTAAGTCAGTTTTATATTTATACTAAACATTTTTGCTAAATATTTTTACTCTTTCAACCTCCTGCCTGTTGAGGCTTTTTTTTTTATTATTATTGATGGACCTTTTCCTCCTGTATTTCTCCATCCTACTTCAGCAAGTCTTCCTGCTCCTCCAACTTCTACATTTTTGTTCCGTTCCTGCTCTTCCACCGCCAGTTCTTCCTCCAGCTCCTACTCATATTCTACTTACTGTTCTTCCTCCAGCTCCTACTCTTACTCTACCTGTTCTTCCTCCAGCTCCTACTCTTACTCTACCTGTTCTTCCTCCAGCTCCTACTCATACTCTACCTACTGTTCTTCCTCCAGCTCCTACTCTTACTCTACCTGTTCTTCCTCCAGCTCCTACTCTTACTCTACCTACTGTTCTTCCTCCAGCTCCTACTCATACTCTACCTACTGTTCTTCCTCCAGCTCCTACTCATACTCTACCTACTGTTCTTTCCTCCAGCTCCTACTCTTACTCTACCTACTGTTCTTCCTCCAGCTCCTACTCTTAATCTACCTGTTCTTCCTCCAGCTCCTACTCATACTGTACCTACTGTTCTTCCTCCAGCTCCTACTCATACTCTACCTACTGTTCTTCCTCCAGCTCCTACTCATACTCTACCTACTGTTCTTCCTCCAGCTCCTACTCTTACTCTACCTACTGTTCTTCCTCCAGCTCCTACTCTTACTCTACCTGTTCTTCCTCCAGCTCCTACTCTTACTCTACCTGTTCTTCCTCCAGCTCCTACTCTTACTCTACCTGTTCTTCCTCCAGCTCCTACTCATACTCTACCTGTTCTTCCTCCAACTCCTACTCTTCCTCTACCTGTTCTTCCTCCAGCTCCTACTCTTACTCTACCTGTTCTTCCTCCAGCTCCTACTCTTACTCTACCTGTTCTTCCTCCAGCTCCTACTCTTACTCTACCTTTCTTCCTCCAGCTCCTACTCATACTCTACATACTGTTCTTCCTCCAGCTCCTACTCATACTCTACCTACTGTTCTTCCTCCAGCTCCTACTCATACTCTACATACCGTTCTTCCTCCAGCTCCTACTCTTACTCTACCTACTGTTCTTCCTCCAGCTCCTACTCATACTCTACATACTGTTCTTCCTCCAGCTCCTACTCATACTCTACCTATTGTTCTTCCTCCAGCTCCTACTCCTACTCTACCTACTGTTCCTCCTCCAGCTCCTACTCTTACTCTACCTGTTCTTCCTCCAGCTCCTACTCTTACTCTACCGACCGTTTTTCCTGCCACTCCTGTTATTTCTAACACTGTTTCTTGTTTTCCCTAGTGTTATTGGTTGCTGCTGCTTCTACAGCAGCCTCGGTACTTCACACACATGCCGCTATGTTCGATAATTCTATGTAACTGTATTTGTGTATACCTCAATAAATTTACTTATTCCCTCTTCTTACGTATCATAAAAATTTCCATTACCTAATGAACACTTTGAATAGCAAGCTACAATGATCTTCTGAATGTGATTATGTAAACCTGTCCCAGAAGGGAGGTTCCTTGATAATGGCGAGAGGCTCTTGATTTGAAGAAATGGACCTGGCCTCCCTTTCCTTGGCACGAACCTGATTCCTTCCTATTGTCAAGGTGTTATATGACCCATACACGTTTAGCGCTTACTCCTAAATATTAAAAAAAAAAAAGTTATTCATGTTTAATATAGTGGTACCTTGACTTACGAGTACCCCAACTTACGAATTATGAGCCGTCGCTCGGTCGAGTTTTTGCTTTGAGTTGCAAGCCAAAATCCGAGTTATGACCGAACTTCAGATACGCCGCCACTAATTGGCGGCATATCTGAAGTCAAATCCTACTCTGTACCCAGAGGGATGTCAGGTACTTTGTCCCATCCCACATGCTCTTCCAAGACATAACTGGGAGGATAATACTCCCACACTAATCCTAGATTGTAGCGAGGCACCTCACTACAATCTGGGATTAGTATAAATCTGGGGAAGAGGTTCCCTCCATCTCAACACTCAGTTTCTCTAGAAACATTAAGGTAGGCTTCCATGATATTTACCTGCCTCATAGAGGTTCCGTCAGTAGGTGGAGTACTGATGGTGGTGGGTGGAGTAGTAATGGTGGTGGGTGGAGTAGTGATGTTGGTGGATGGAGTAGTGATGTTGGTGGATGGAGTAGTGATGTTGGTGGATGGAGTAGTGATGTTGGTGGATGGAGTAGTGATGTTGGTGGATGGAGTAGTGATGTTGGTGGATGGAGTAGTGATGTTGGTGGATGGAGTAGTGATGTTGGTGGATGGAGTAGTGATGTTGGTGGATGGAGTAGTGATGTTGGTGGATGGAGTAGTGATGGTGGTGGATGGAGTAGTGATGGTGGTGGATGGAGTAGTGATGGTGGTGGATGGAGTAGTGATGGTGGTGGATGGAGTAGTGATGGTGGTGGATGGAATAGTGATGGTGGTGGATGGAATAGTGATGGTGGTGGATGGAGTAGTGAGGGTGGTGGATGTAGTAGTGATAATGGTGGGTGGAGTAGATATGGTGGTGGGTGGAGTAGTGAGGGTGGTGGAGTAGTAGAGATGGTGGTGGGTGGAGTAGCGAAGGTAGCTCTTATTTAAAAACCTGTAACAAAAAAATTGGGGTGTTTTTTGGGGGCTGGAATGGATTAATGGCATTTCAATTAATTTCGATGAGGAAAATTGATTTGATATTCGAGCAAATTGAGTTATGAGCTCGGTCACAGACGAATTAAACTCATAAGTCAAGGTACCACTGTATTTTTATCACTGGATTTTGTGTTTCTGATACTTTGGTAATCTGATATTATTATTATTACAGTATTATATTCAAGAAAAGAGCTGTACCTGTTTCATTAAGTTCTGCAAGGGAAAGGGAAGAGCAGCAGAGTGAGGGTAACCAGGGGTGGTCATTTATTATTATAATAAAAAAGCAGCGCTAAACCACAAGGGCTATACAGCGCTGCAGGGCAGGAAGGAAGCGAGGGTATCAGGTGGCAAAAGGGAGAGGGATAATTAGTAGGTTACGGAGAACAGCGGGGCAGTGGATAGTGCAGAGGGGTAGGGGGGTAGCAAGAGATTGAGGTAGAAAGGGCTGAGGGGAGTGCAAATGGTATTGTCATCAAAGTTTGTGGAGTAAGTCAGTTGTTGTCAGAAGTCAGTGAGAGAGTCAGGATTAAAGGAGGTCCATCAGCAAGAAGGGAAGGTAAAGAGAGAGTAGTAGAGCGGAGACAACGTTGGAGGTAAATTGTGCGTTCTTGTTGATAGAGAGGGCAGTCTAACAGAATGTGCCTAACCGATACGGAACCTGACACGTCTCAGAGAGGAACATTGTGCCTCTCCATGAGATACCCATGAGTAAGACGGGTGTGGCCAATGCGAAGATGGGAGAGAGTAGTCTCCCAACCTCGACACTGATGACAAGAAGACGGCCAGTAACCTATACTCGGTTTAATAGAATGAAGTTTGTTACCGAGTAGATTAGACCAATGTTGTTGCCAACGGGTGTGAAGGTGGGAAGCTATTACAGCAAAATAGTCCGTAAATGGAACACCTCTATATGAAACTGGTAGGTCATGTACTGCTGACTGCGCAGCAGTGTCTGCCTGTTCATTGCCCTGTATGTCAACATGACCAGGGACCCAACAAAAAACAATATCTTTATGCTTGGTAGAGATACGGCGTAGCCAGAGTTGGATATGGAGGACTAGGGGGTGAGGTGTATCAAATTTTCGTATAGCCTGTAGAGCACTAAGGGAGTCTGAGACAACCACAAATGATGACACAGGCATGGATGCAATATGGATAAGTGCTACAAGAATGGCATACAGTTCAGCTGTAAAAATGCTAGCCGAGGATAGTAAATGTCCTCGCACGACACTGTCCGGAAACACTGCTGCGAATCCAACGCCATCTGTGTACACTGCGATGGCATGAGAATGAGAGCGGAAGTGGTCAAGAAAAAGAGAGCGGGAAGCTACCATAGGCAGTTGGGCTTTCGCGCAAGGGAGAAAGAACAGACTCGAACAGCTGGAACTTCCCAGGGGTGGGCAAGGAAAAGTGAGATGCTACATGAACATAGAAAGGTGGTAACTGAGGGGTGGTCAAGGCTAGAATAAAAGCAGCAGAAAGGGGAGGAGAAATTAGGTGTTACCCTGATGCTGGTGAGGGTAATATTTATTTCGCTTGTTTCTTTAAATATACATAAATTATTTTTACATAAATGTTACTCTGCATTTAAACTCTTATTATAATAGACTCAGAAAGGAGTGGGTGGCTGGTAATGACAGCTGTGGATAGAGAAGACATTGTCTTGCCCTGATAGTAACAGGGCAACGAACTCTTTCCATTGTTTCTAAATAGATTGACACAGCGGACTTTTTCCATATTTCTGAAATTGGTTATATTGAAGGTTAAATAACTGTCAACTGTTTAACTTTTACCAAAAAAATATTAAAATTTCATATTTTCTTCATTGCGGACAATTTAAAGTCTTTGTTTTCTATATACCTTTATTGTACAGTATTTGGTGTTTCAGAATATTATAGGGGGTTGATAGTGAAGAACATTTAATAAGAACATAAAATTTAAATATTCCCTGTAATGTCCAAGATAGTGAATGAAAATGTTTTAAAGTGATTTTTTTTTATTATACAATACGAAAATCAATAATTTTCAACAATGGTGCTGATTATGATTCATGATTGATGATAATGGATTATCTAATGAATTATTGACAGTCAATTCACTCATAACACGCAATTATAAAAATAATAACAATGCAAGTGCTAAGCCTTGGGATTTATTCGGCACTTCGTAACCCATGTTTTTAAAAAGCTATCATAAATAATTTTCAGTAGCTGAACAACCTGAACTCCTGTTCATTAACTTAAAATAGTCTTGACCGAGTACAAAACAAACATTTTTTTTACTCGTGTCAAAAAAAAAAAAATTAAAATCATTCCTCTACTAAAA